TCATTAAATCTCACATTAAATATATTTTAATAGATCGTTTGTTTTATGTTGATAATACTACTATATTTTTCTATAATTATAGAAAACATAACTAGAAAAAAAAGTCAAACATGACTTATAATATGAAATGGAGGGAGCAGTTCTCACTTCGAGTATGTACAGTGAATCTTGTTAATTAATTCGAGTAAAAAGCAATTATGCAGCGCAGTAACAAAATGTGCAACTAGCCAGCATACGGCAGAGTTGCACAGAGCAGCTGGAGTAGACTGCGATTTCTTTCCCGCCGGTATCATCCCACGGCCCTCGAGTCGACATTCTCATTGGCGGAGTGGTGAAACCACAGAACTTTGTAAACTATCAGAAGAAAACTGACGGAGTTCTTTGCGTCATTGCAGCACAACGATTCCTGGGACCTTCCAGTCCAAACATAGATATAGAATGTACAGTAGGATGGATGCAATGACCGAGTGAATCATAAGTGGAAATGCTTCACTTCCAACAAATATATAGAAGATAGCAACATGCATAGCATCTCAGCCATTGGTGATCTCTGGCTGCCTTAAAACCATAGCCAATTCTTTTCATAGCTGGAAACCATCCACTTAAAACGTAGTTGTCTTATAACTTTCGGACCATTGGAGCACACTTGTCATAAAATGAAGGGGAAATTAAAGAGTATATCAGTGTTCTTTAATTTGGGAAGTGTGCGTTTTTTATCTGCCTCTTAGTTTTGCCCGGGAAGATCATTACAATTGCAGGCAGCAAAATCTCATGTCATGGAGGGGCGGGCCCATCATTTTAAGGTTGTGTATTAAAAATAGAAAGGGGCAAAAGAAAATCTTTGACAGTTGTACATATAGTGTTGCGCGCGAATTGCAGAATTTGGCCATAATACTTGTGCGAATTGGATCCTCAAAGGAGGGAGCCAAACCTAGGAAGGCGGGTTTATTTGCTTCTTATCCTTTTGTCATTTTTTATCCACGTACATATTACACAATAGATATACTTATTTTCTTTCTAAAAATCATGGGTACACTCCCTTCGTCCAAAAAAAAAAAAGGCAACCTAGGAGGGGATGTGATATCTCTTAGTACAACAAATTTGGACATAGGAGAGGTCACATCCCCTCGTAGGTTGCCTTTTTTTAAGGAAGGAATGATTACATTTGAATGCCCATGGAATCTATTTGGGCGCCCACCGTGAGCACCGTGAATGGGTGTTTTCCTAGGGTTATGCGAATGGAATTAGTTCACTTTAGGTCCCTCAATTTGTCGTCCAGTCAGATTTTCATCTTTAGCCCAGAAAACCGGATACAACACGTCCCCTAACTTACAAAACAATGCAACTGAGGTTCCTAGGCAGTATTAACCCTAGTTTTGGCTGACGTGGCACCTACATGTATCATTTCACTAGGTCTTCGTCCCATGTGGTATTGATGTGACGCTTATATGGCAATTCTATAACAAAAAATAATAAAAACCATAGGGCCCGCATGTCAGTTGCATAAAAAATAAAAATATGATGGGGCCTATGTGGCTCCACATGTCATCTCACTCCCCTCTTCTCTTTATCCTCTCTCTCTCTCCCACCTAGGCAGTCGGAGCAGGCGATCGATGGGTGGGGCGAGGCGCTCACGCGGCTGCTGCTCCGGCTCAATGTGGTCCACGGTGCAAGGAAGTCCTTGCGCTTCAGGATGCAGTCAATGCCCTCGAGCACATGTTGGCGGCGCCCGTAGCCGCTGACGACATCGGCAAGCCGTCGACATGGAGCAGCGGCGACCGAAGCAAACCGTCACGGGTTTAGCTTCATAACCTCCATCGCTGTACCCGCCACTGCCTCCATAGCCATGGTTCCCACCACCGCTGGGATGAGATCCGCCGGTGACGTCAAACCCCGTTGGTGGCGTCAAACCACTTCGCCGTCCCCTTCACCCTCTCCGACGGTCGGCCATGGAGTGTACGAGCTCGGCGGCGGAGATGAGCGCCACGCATGGGAGAGGAGCAGCACGAGGCATCGCGGCGGGAGAGAGAGGAGAGGAGAAGCGCATGGCACAGCGGTGGGAGAGAGGAGAGTGCGTGGCTTGCGGTGGAAGAGAGGAGCATGCACAGCTTGCGGTGGAAGAGAGGAACGTGCGCGCCGCGGCATCCGGCGGGAGAGAGGAGAGGTGCACTTACGGCGTGACGGTGGGGTAGAAAGCGCACATAGCGTCTGGCAGGAGAAAGGAGTGGAGCGTGGGCGACGCAGCGGCGAGGAAGACAACAACATGCGGCATCCGACGGGAGAGAGGAGAGGAGCGTGGGTGGTGCGGCACCCGGGGGGAGAGAGGAGAGGATTGAGGAGCGTGGGTGGCGCGACGACTAGGGAGAGAGCGCCGCGAGGCTCGTCAGCCTCCCCGCGCTATCCCTCTCTGAGAAAGTGATAAGGGAAATGTAGGTCCAATATTTTTATTTTATTTTGTTTGACTGACATGTGGGTCCCTCATATTTTGTTTAGTTTTTTAGTTTTACAATTTTGCACTTCTATTTTTTTCCGGATCAAACTGCCACGTAAACGCCATGTCAATGCCCCATGGGACGAAGAACAAGTCAAAGGAGCCACGTAGGCACCACGTCATCCAAAACCAGTGTCAATACTACTGAGGGATCTTTTTTTAACTAGTTTTGTAAGTTGGAGAACGGGTTGTATCTGTTTTTTAGGTTGAAGGACGAAAATCAGATTGGGCGATAAATCGAGGGACCTAGAATGAAATTATTCCTATGTGAATTGGACCCTAGGGTTGTTATGGAACCTTCTATTATGTGACAGAGAGTACATAAATTGAACAGAATTACTAAGTACATCCTCAATGTATCCAACCCAACTTGGTAATAGTGTGGTCCCAAACAACAGGAGGTAGAGAATAAGATGGGGTCCACCAAGAAAAAACTATTATCTCTTTTTTCTATAAAGCTAATGTCCACTACACACCTAAACTCAACATACAAGCATAGTATTTATTAGCACTCCTAAAACCTACGTGCAAGCATGCCGCATCAACCCATTAAAGCACAGAAAGCTCGACATACAAACATATGGTAATTATGTTTACAATTTATTTCATTCTAAAACTAAACATACCCATGCTAAATCATCATTCTCAAATCACTTTTATAATATTTCATTCCAAATCATTTCATCATTTCTTCAATGTCTAACATATATCCCACAGCAAAGCGCGGGGCACTATCTAGTTTCCTATATGGTAGAATTGGTATCTCCCGTAATGCTCTGGCCTTCCTCATTTGCAATGCTCTAAAGCTGTTTCGTATTTGCTTGCTGCGCTTGCTGCCTGGTAGTATCACTTCAACTAGGTAGTTGTTGTTACCTACCTTTTGCCATAATGCCTACACCTTGCTAATAAGAGTGCATTCATTGGTTACTTCCTGCTTTTGAACCATTTGCCTTAAATGACTATCGATTGGAAATTGTGACTATTTTGCCTAAAAAATTATGACATTTGGATTTATGTCGTGATTCATGCTCCGACAACCCCAACTCTTTCTCCTCCAACTCCAGGAAGCTCCTGCATCTGGCGATGGCATGATAAGTTAGGTTTAGGGTTCCGAGTCAGGGTAGAGGTGGGAATGGATGTAAGGGGAGCGGGAGAGGGCTGGCTTAAAGGGATGGCTGTGGCAGGCGGCATCCTGGTGAGCGGTGAGGTGCTAGAGCAGTGGGGAAGGATGTAGGCTGGTGTTGGCGCACGGTGGGGGCAAACCGGAGCTTGTGGATAGGAGATGGGGAAAATGGTTGGATGGGGCACTGGTGCGCCCTCGGCTTGGAAAAGATAAGGGAGATGGGGAGGTGGACGGTTGGGAGAGCCTCACCAACGCTGTTGACACCTTCCGGCAAGCCGACATGGGGGCAATGTCACTAGATACGCAATGACGGCAGAGGATAGTGGGGCAGTGTTGATTGTGGGGACAAAATAGGGCTTGTGTGGTTAAGAGGGGGGTGGTCGCCAGATATGAGAAAGACGTTTGGATGGAACACTCGACACAACTGGCTTGGGAAAGAGAAGGTAGGAGAAGGAGGTGACCGGCTAGGGGGACGGGAGGGGGGGAGAAGGGGCTCTTGAGCTAGCTGATGAGATTGGGCAGCGATGGCGATGACACAGGAGGCAGAGGCATCGTGCGAACGCGCACTTGCTCGCGAGTTTCGGCAGTGTTAAGAAAAAATGATGAGAGTGGAGAGGAGGGGTTACGGTCAGAGGAGGAGTGGACAAATTTTGAAGCGATCCACCGGTTAAGAATTTATAAGGTTTTTTCTATGAAATATTATATAAGTAGTCGCTAAATTAAATCAATTCTTCAATCTCATGCTCCCCCATACACTCGCCTATGTAACTGTTGCTTCTAACTTCTGTTCCCCGTCACTGTGGTTGAGACATCACTCTGTCCTAACACTAACCCACGGGCACACTTGGTACTCGAGGACCTATCAGACTTGTGGGTTATCTGCCAATAAAGTATGTATGTGTATGATTAAAATTGTTTTGAACCGTTGCACGCACCAGCATTCTACTAGTTTAAAAAAAATCGAACCCACTAAGATCTTGTTCGGTTACACGGCCGGGATTCGTTCCATGCTAGGAATGATAGGTACGTATAACAAGAAATTTATAATAGGTAAAAAGGAGACCGGCATTTATTCCGGATCGAGAACCAATTTATTCATATTAGGTACAACAAAACATCCGGATTAGTTCTACACCTCTTGACTAGTGGATTGATTCCTGGTCTCTTATTGTCCCTATCATGACTAAATTGGTTTCCGGCTCGAAATAAATCCCGATCTCTCATTACATCTATCATAAATTTTTTACTATACTTGTCATTTCTGGACTGGATTGAATCCGGCGTAACCAAATAAGGCCTAAAGAAACACAAATACATGTTCTATTTTTGCAAAAAAAAAGATAAAAATGTAGTAGACGCTAACTAGTGGGACCGAGCAGCTAACAGTGGCCATAGGGTCAGCCCAACATCGACATTCATGATTCATCGCAGCAGCCAACAATCCACAAAAGCCTAGCCATCCGCTCACCCCCTTCGCTTCGGTGACTCTCTCCCCCTCTCCTTCCCCTAGGCCGCCGCTATGAAACCTCCGGTCGCCATGGATTCTGCCGGAGGAAACTCAGGTGAGAGCTACCCATCTCACCTCGGCCTGTTCGCGCATCTCACAGTGCGGAGGCTTGGTTCTGATCTGATCCACCGGTGGCTGTTGTGCAGGCAAGCTGTTCGACGAAATGCCTCCCCGTTCGTCGGATCGAGGATGCCCCCGGAGCCCGTCACCGGCGGCGATGGAACACGGCTTCGACAGACACTGTGTGTTCGTTATCGTCTAGTATATGTTATTGCGTATTTTCCTGGCCGTGGGTGGGTGTTTGCTGTGGAGCGTGACAGTGACACCCGGTGGCTCGTGCAGGTGTGGTGCTCGGCGGAATGCCCAAGAAGAGATCAAGGTTGGAGTTGGACGCGGGGGTGTCACTGTGGGCAGGCCTTCAACCGGACATTCTAGGAATCGTGCTCCACTTCCTTCCATGCCTTGCCGACCGTGCGAGGATGCGGTCCGTGTGCCGTCACTGGCGAGCCAGCGCGAACGGCCACGTCCTGCCACCGCCGCTGCCCCTGCTGATGCTTCCTGGTTTCAAGTTCTCGAGCCTATCAGATAAGGGGGATTTGATGCCTGTGCGGTGCGTGCCGGTGCCTAAGGAGGTTGCAGCTGATGATCTCCGATGTGTGGGTTCTTTTCATGGATGGCTTGTAGGTGTGACTCCTAACAAGGATCGCAGCGACGAGTACAACAGAGATGCCGATGGTGACTGCTTCCTGGTGAATGTTTTCTCTCGCAAGGTCATTCGCCTACCGCAGCTGTGCCATATGCGTTACAATTTCCCTGCTTACTCCAGTAAGACCCTCCGCATCATCAATGGTTCTGGTGAGGTCTATTTTCGTGTCAATGATATATACACAATGTCACTATGCAATGTGGCACTATCTGCTTCACCTGACTCAAGAGGCAAGTACATTGTAGCTGCTTCCTCTGACCACAAGTGTGCATCAAAACTTGCTCTCTGGCAGCCTGGGATGATTTCATGGCATATTTGCGCTGGCGTTGACATTGATGGCCCAAGAGATCTCACTTTTTACCTTGGGAAGCTGTATGTGCTCCAAAGATATAAGATACGCCTCTTTGCTTTTGAAGTTGGGGAGGACAATGGTGGGCTCATGGTCTCTCGCGTTAAGCGTTGTCTGAGTGCGCTGCCTCTCCATCATCCCTACCAGGAAGGTGGTGCAATAAGTTGTAATATGGTTGTGTGGCGTGGAGAGCTATTATTAATCATCAGACACTACAGCGACAATTACCGTGACCGAGAAGTTCTTAAAGTTGAAGTGTTTGCACTGGATGTTAACACAAACCCTTATGGACTAACTGAGATTCACAGCTTGAATGGTGACTGTATCTTTGTTGGCTTAGGTGGCTGCAAGTCCTTTCCTGCTGGTCTACATCATGGAGTTGAAGGTGACCATATCTACTTTGTCCCTGATGATTGGAAGCCTTATGATACATTTGTGTATAGCATGAGAGATGGTAAGATGAGGTCCTTTGCCGTCAAACTATTAGCTTCTGAATTTGATGTGGACCAGTTGAGTCGTGATTTCCCGGTGTGGTTACTTCCTACCGAATGATGCTGCACAGCAAAACTGATCTAACTGGTTGTTTTGTGCCGCTAGTTGCTCTTATCAAGACAGAGCTTACTTGTCATTAGACTCTTTGGTCATGACTATAACATGTATAATCTGCTATGCTCTTGTCACAATTCTCAGATTTTTCTTTCTTTCCGAAAAATATTAATCTGGAAGGTTCTACTTCAACATTTAACTCTTTTAGCAACTATAAGAGAAATAAAACAAGAGGACAAATACCATTAATCACATTCATAAATATTATTACATCCGTTCTTTGAGATAAGTTTTGCTTGCAGAGAACATGACCACTGAAAGCTCGCTTCAATTTGAGTTTCACACATTGAAACTCCTATGTGACAACCAAACATTGTTTGGAGTTTGGACACTTGGTGGAGGTGACCTCCTGCTGTGTTGTAACTGACAAGGTTAAAAGAGCCTTTTCAGCTAGAAAATTGTCAATAGACTGAGTTGAGAAATAAGATGGGGAATGATAGGTTGAATCATATTGAGAGAGATGTTTTGGCAATCACTGAAGATGATATTTTGTAATATTTCCTAGAACTGAATAATAGAGTGAAAAAGTTTACCTCCGTTATCTCAAACTAGAGCAAATGATATGTTGCATTCCTACCATTTTTGTTCATTAATCAATTGTAGTTTGTAGATTGCATCTGTATTTTTTTTTGTCAAATGCCAATCTTGTATGTGTAGGTTCACATTTGATATTGTTCATGAAGATATGAGAGATGAGGATGAACCAAATCGTCGTTGTTGCCCTCATCCCATTCTGCTTAGTATTATTGTAAGTGGTTCAGTAAGTTGCAACATCGTGGTGTGGCATGATAGATTTGTACTCTACAACATAAGAAATGGTATGATGAAGCCCTTTGCTCTCAAATTGTTACCTTGCAACATTGGCGTTCCTGAGGAAATCATTGATTTTTCCAGTGTGGTTATTTCCATCCAACTGATGCTGCAGAGCAAATCTGATATTTCTCACTGTATGGTGCTACTGTTTGCTCTTCGAAGATTATGAATACTGAACGAGTTGCTACCTGTCTTTTGACATCTGTATGATTTGGACAATGGTTTGCATTGTCACCTATGTTCATGTCTGTATGATTTGGACAATGGTTTGCATTGTCTACTACGTTCATGTCACCCTGGGATTAAAGGTTATTAATTTGGAGGAAAAATATTCCATACCTATTGAGGTTTGGAACTAATCCTCTCGATCCCATTTAATCTCTTCATTCTAGGAACCCCAACATGGTCTTAAATAGTTGCAAGGTCTTAAATATCCAAGACTCTTTGTGCTTTCTTTACATTCTAGAATCCCCAAAGCTTCGCATTCCAAACCTTGAAAATCTGACGCGAATACACTGCCGCTCTAGTGTTTTGGAATATTTCCATTTTCTTCCTACCAGCAAAACTGAAGCAGGATAGCTATTGTGGTAGTGTTATATATGCATGAGTTAATGAATTACTGGAAATTCCTAACACACAAACGGGCTCCTGGTCTCTTTTATTCTATTTTCTTTTTGTTTTTCCTATCTATTTTGACTATGAAATTCGTGACAAAAAAATTAGCAGTGAATTAAATTTTATATTAACAGCAGGCATTAGAATTTGGGCAACAAATTTGTTGACCTTCTCATATAAAACTTTTCACCCAACTTGGGCAATAAATTTGTTCACGTTTTCCTCGGTTTTTTGAATTTTTTTGGCTCGTCGCAATTGGTGACATGTATTTTTCTATGGTACAGAAGCTCCTCAATTGGGCAGCTTATCCGGCTGTGTGTCAGGTTTGTCAGTCATCCACACTATTCACGGATATGCCAAATAATTTTGTAAATAGTAAATGCATAAAAATAACTAAGTGATTCTCTACTTAGGGGGTGTTTAGATCCAGGTGTGTAAAGTTTTAGCGTGTCACATCGGATATTATACAGGGTGTCGCATGGGGTGTTCGCACACTAATAAAAAAACTAATTACACTATGCGTCAGTAAATCATGAGACGAATTTATTAAGCCTAATTAATCCATCATTATATTAGCACATATTTACTGCAGCACTACATTATCAAATCATGGAGCAATTAGGCTTAAAAGATTTGTCTCGCAAAGTAGTCGCAATCTGTGCAATTAGTTATATTTTTAGCCTATATTTAATACTTCATGCAGGAGTTTAAACGTTCGATGTTGTAGGATCGAATCACAAGAACTAAGCCAACCAGAGGGGGTGAATGGTTGGTATACCCAAAAACCGAAAACTTTTAGCAGAAATAAAAGTTACCCTCGAAATCGATGGAGATCGGTCTGACCGAGATTGATCTGCCGGTCTGACCGAAGCGTAGCCGCCGGTCTGACCGGTATTGATCTTCCGGTTGGACTGCCCTGGAATCCCTGCCACGCCTGATGTCGCCGCCAGTCTGACCGCCTCGCCCTAGCCGGTCTGACCGTCGGTGCTTCGCCGGTCTGACCGCCGGTGAGTCGCCGGTTAGACCGTCGAAACCCGGTGAAACACAAATCGAAGAACTCTCAAAGTAGATGACAACTTTATTGCTTCTCTCTGTGTTTACAAAGTGCAACAACAACACTCCTTACAAAAATCTCGACTAAACTCGAAACCCTAACTAAACTATCAACTCAATTGCTCTTAAAAGCGATACAAAAGCGATACCGGGAAGCCTCACGCTCCCCCTCTATTTATACATGAGGTAGACAGTCTAAAGCCACGAACCAAACTCATACTAAGAGTCCTAAACACCTCAGGAAACCCTCTAGTACAAGACACAAACTTAACATAACCAATCGTATCAAATTTGGACTCCTTCCAAATTCGACTCCGCATCCCATATGCACACAATACCTCCATCATATGCCATATGGAATCTTCACTAACCACGTGCATCAACTCTAGCCTTAGTATCCCGCATGATATCTGACCACCACGGACATCGTCTTACCACCAAGCCGACTCCCGGTCCATCACTGCAAATACTCTCCCGAGGCATCGAGTCACCTACACATGAAACAAACAAAAAAACCATATTCCGAGACCAAACTATCCCCAACTTGACTCATTGTTAGCAAACAACAGTATTACATATGTATAGTATCCATCTAAAAGCCATAGCCATGAAACAATCACGGATATCCTATGGAACAACCCGAAACCGAAACCGACACACTGTCGGCCGGTCAGACCGCGGGCCGGCCGGTCTGACTGCTCGATCACCGCCGGTCTGACCGGCATACACAGCCCGGTCGGACCGGTCATATAAAATAACAGTGAATCCAATCATCACCTAAAAATTGATTATCTCCAAAACCACTTCGACGATAATCTCCAAATATCAAAACCAATAATCACAGATGCCAATTGTTCATCACAGAATAAGAATCAAAACACACTTTGATCTTACAAATGTGACAGGGTGTAAAATTTTGAAGTGGGATCTAAACAGGCCCTTAGGTTCGGAAGTTGATCAAAGGATGGAATCATGGCTTGCCTTGTGAGATGTGGATTTCTTGAGCTTCAGAGAAGCCCCATCTCGGTCCACCTCAGCATTTTGGTGCAAACAGATCCTCTACACGATCTAGCGCGCGCACACAAAGATACAACCAGATAGCCTCTAAATAAAATACTGCAAGTAAATGTTTAGAATAAATATCGAAGATTGGAGCCAGAACAGAAAAGTTGATGAGCCAAAGGTTCAATGAATTTTGAGTTTAAAAGATGGTGTAGGGTTAGAGTTTTGGGTACCTGTGAGACCTGATGAGATCTAGGATTAGTTTACCGATTGACATATAATTAAGAAACCAGGAGAATTTGATGTCTAGTGAGGCAAACCAATTGCGAACACTAATTGGATGGATTTGGATTGATTGCGAACACTAGTGAGGCTAGGTTTTGTTAGTGATTCTAGTGTTCCCAACAACCTAGTATAGATGGCCATAAGGCCTGAGGGCTGAAGGCCCAGCCCACGGCACGGTATTTTGGCCCGGCCCAAGCACGGCACGGCCCGACCGCTGGGCCTGCCTGGGCCTCCCCACCCGCACACTGGGCTGGATCGACACGATCGGCCGGCAGGCCAGGCTCGTACACAAGTATAGGGACTAAAAATAGACATATAAATGTCACGTTCCAAAGAATAGGGATCTAAAATAGACTTATTTTAGCTATTTATATATCACAGCCCAAAGAAGAGGGAGGTAAAATAGACTTTTTTTAGCTATAATATATATGTCACAGCCCAAGAGGAGGGAGGAAAATTAGACTTATTCTGAGGAAAAGCACGATGGGCTGTCGTGCCTTCGGGCCGGCCCGGCACAGCCCGAGTCGTGTTGGGCCGTGCCTGGCCTGTGTGTGCGGCCCGTCGGCTGACAGGCACGGCCTGATGCGTTGGTCGGGCCGTGTCGGCCCGACAAGCCTCGGCCCAGACACGGCCGAGCCTGGGCTGTGCCATGCCGTGCGGCCCAGATGGCCATCTATACCACCTAGAAGCTCGGTTGCTTCCAGTGAAAGTTGAAGGTGAGAAAAAGATATAAGAAGTTCGGATGGGGCAACTTCCTCAGCTGGGCCACAACGGCAGTGAGCCGGAAAGGTCCAGAACAGACGGGGATGCTGGAGGAAATGAAAAACAGGGTGACAGACTGGATTGGGGTTGATTTTAGCCCAGGGAGAGATAAAGTGGTTTTTGAATTGTTGATGTGATTTTGAATAGAACTTCCATATGAGTTTCTAGACATGAATTGATGTTGTGATTTTCAAAGAGATGTTTTGGAGAATTCTAGAAATTTCAGAATTTTGGTTTGGAAGTGCAAATGGATGAGATTATGTGGGAGGTTGAATCTTAATGAATGAAATAAAGAAAATGATTGGGATGCTCCAATTAAAAAGAACAACAAACAATGACTTTATTTGGTTTTTATTAGTCTGTTTCCTCTTTTGAATGCTATAGTACACTTCCGTCATTTGAGAGGATCACGAGTTCGTCGGAAGTGTTTCAGAATACGAATTGAAGACATTTATTTGCCTAGCAAGTCAGACAGATCCCAAAGATCCCTTCGAGCATGTCAATCCTATATTTAAATTCTTGCTTTACTTCAAATGTGCATTATATTTATTTACAAATAGAATTGTGTGGAGTGAACAAATTCCTTTGTTATGGCCAATTTACACTGGTTACCTTATTCCTTGTTACCCTGGCCTATAAATTGACTAGCCGTGACTTTTTGCTGGTTAAGCCATATGTTTAGTTAATTTGCAGTGTGGCTTGGGGAGTTCATATACTGACCTTTCAATAATAATCAATCTCAATTGAAAAATGATTCAGAAGAAGAACACCTTGGCTTATACACTAGTTGAGCTGCCTGTGAAAGTGGAGTTAAAGCTTCGGTAGTTTTTTCTTTTTTCGCTGCAATTGTCTTCGTGGTGAGGACTAATAGCCTCTTTTGTAAGTATTAATTGCTTTAGTTTTCTTGGTACTGTATAGTTAAATTGTCAGTTTGTATACCTCAGCTAATTCCTACTTTCCTAGATGACGATTTAATGCACAAAGTTAGTTCGGGATGCACATGCTGTTACATCCATGCAGCATGAGAGCTACAGCCTACAGGTGAGTGGAGGTCCATGGTCAAGCACGTAGGAAGTATAATTTGATCTGGTGGTGGGGGTTGGGGGTCTGTTTCCATTGGCATAGGGTAAAGGGACATCATGCGTGCGGGAGTTGCTCGAGAGGGCATGGGTGTGAGGTTAGGCATACATGATGGAGGACAGATCATAAACCACCACTACATTTTTTAGGAGTGAAAGATTTATTTGTTCTTTATGTTGAATGTTTGGAATTAAACGGTATGTTTTTTAGATCCTTTGTAACACACTGGTAATGTAAAAAAAAATGATTTAAAGTTTGGAACTAATGGCATATTTATTTTAGATTCTTTCCAATAGATTGGTATTCTCATAGTAGTATATAAACTTTGTTGTTGAGTATAGCTCTGGGCCTGGCCCAACTATATGATATGAAGCTTAATTTTGCTCCTCTCAAAGCTGACCTCATTTCCATTCTACTCCGATTATCACTCATTCGTGTTGGATATGTGAGATTAATGTGACTTGCAGTTTGTTCTGATATCTGAATATACTAAACGATGTACCGATGCTTTATGCTTATAGTTTCAGGTCATAGTATGGTTGATACAACAATCTGTTTTCAGAAAAGAAAAAAAAATACACGTGTAGGTGTGACTTTACAATATTTTTTACATGCTAAAAAGGTGAAATGAGCTACATTGGTTAGGACATACGTATATACTAAAACTTTGGAAAATCAAATGCACCCAATCATCTTGATGAAAGTTGATGAAATATACTTTTTCCCATATCCTATCTTACTATAAAGTTATGACCCACTAACCATAAAGCTCAACATGTAAACATGCCACCTCATCATCCACTAGCAATAAATACATGCAAAACTTATGCAAGCATGCAACATCATCTATAATTTATTGAATTATACAAATCAACATCCAATCATCTTCCTTCACATTATTTTTCACAATATTTTTAACATGTATATATCCATCATTTTTATAATCCTTAACATATATTCATCCATATAATTAAAGTGTGGGATATCATATTTCATCTACAATCTCATACATACATAGTATACTAAATGTATTTCTCTCTGAACATAGTTTGACAAACCATTTTTATTTGTTGCTAATAACTAATATAAATTTTACTTTTAGATCGATTATTAAAAAAATATTAAAAGTTACTTAGGAATTTTGGCAGCAAAGCGCGGGGAATCACCTAGTATCTTATATAAATAACATATATTCAAAACCATGCTCGCATATAGCTCCACAACAATATTTTGGAGTACACATGTATGCCTTATTTTAACACCAGCCTATTACAAAAAAGTAGCCACAGAAAATTAATTATTCGCTCGCTCAAACATGGCGTGATCTCTTTTAAGAGATAATTATTTAGAGGTTCATAATTCTCATGTGACCCAACACAAGAGTATGCATGCCTCTTACTTAGAGTTGGATGCCACTCTTATATTCAGAGCCAGCAGTGAAGCTTTCGGGGATGACATCATCGACGACGCGGTAGCCGCCATTCTTGACAAGGAAGCGGACAGAGAAGGGGCCCTTGAGCGGCGCCTCACTTTTGATCGTCCAGGTGTTAGATGATGACTCCTTGAGCGCCACCCAGTCCTTGCCACCCTTCTCCTTGATCTCCACCTCAGAGATGGCGATGTTGGTGACAAGCTCTAGACTACTGGCGCTAGAGCCCTCAGCGACCTTGAAGGTGAGCTCAGTGGCACATGAGCCAACAACCAACAGTGCTGCCACCGCCACGGCAAGCCGGAAAGAGGACAACGAGGCCATTGGCTAGCTAGTTTGTTTGTTGGTGTAATCTTCCTTGTTTCTTGACTGGTACAGGGATGGATCGATATGTTTGGTGATACATGTTACAGTTGGGTGCGTATTTATGGTGGAGGGAGGGTAAGCAAACTAGGCATAGATGCGTGGAGATCGTTGGTAGACTTTTTCATTGAGGGGTTCTTATACAATTGCTATAAACAGATGCTAGTTGGGTGGTCCCGGTTGTTTCGCTAGCCTAGGGCATGCAGGCCTCCCAAAAATCAGCTATGTGGTCCCATTTCTTCTCTACTTATGTTTTTTAAACTTAGAATAATGATAATTAATCACCTCCTCATGATCTGTTCATGGAGCATGTGAACCGACACATGCGGTTGATGGATCTATTGACCGCATACTTGTATGGGGCATTAGATTTGGAACTTTATCTGAGAGTCCCTGAAGGACTCAAGATCCCAAATCCGAAAGGAAATTGCAACATCTATATTGTTCGCCTGCAGCGATCAATGTACGGATCAAAACAATCCGGAAGGATGTGATTCAATCAATTAAATAGATATCTCCTAAAGAGAGGTTTCCCAAAGAATTATGATTGTCCCCCTGTGTTTATAAAGAAATCCCTGAATGCATTTTGTATCATCTCGGTCTATGTCAATTATCTAAATATCCTTGGCACCACACAGGACATTAAACAAGCAATGGCTTATCTTAATATTGAGCTTGAGATGAAGGACTTGGGGAAAACCTAGTTCTGCTTGGGCCTATTGCTCGAGCATCTCCCTAAAGGAGTGTTTATGGACCGGTATGAAAACCTAGCATGGATGTGCGGTGCAGCATGGAGATCTTTGGTAGGCATTTTCATCGAGGGACTCATACTATTGCTTTAAGTAGATGCAAGTTTGGCGGTCCTGGTTGTTTCGCTAGCGTACGACATCTATGCGGTCCCATCTCTTCTCCACGTAATTTTTTAACTTATTAATAATTATGAGAATTAGTCACCTCCTCATGTTCTGTTCATTGAGGATATGGACCCATACACAAACAAATTAGGGGCCGGGGGGATATGCTAGTGGAAGATAGAGGGGTGGTCGAGCGAATGGTCGGGAGGAGTGATGGCAAGGCACCTAGGGGCATTGTGTGGCACACGTAATAAACTCGGTTGGGGCAGCTGCCTTTGTTGGGGTGCAGTGGCAGTGGGCTGGAAATATAGTTGGCCATAAGGCCCGAGGCCCGAAGGCCCGGCCCACGGCACGCCTTTTTGGCCCGGCCCAAGCACGGCACGGCCCGACTTGGATCGGGCCCGTGCTGGCCCGGCCCGACCGTCGGGCCGTGCCTGGGCCTCCCCACCGGCACGCTGGGCTGGCCCGGCACGGTCGGGCCGGCCCGGCACGATGGGCCGGCAGGCCAGGCCCGGTACATAAAGTATGGGGACTAAAAATAGACATATAAATGTAACTGTCTAAAGAATAGGGACCTTAAATAGACTTATTTTAGCTATTTATATACCCCAGCCCAAAGAAGAGGGAGGTAAAATAGACTTTTTGTAGCTGTACATATGTCACAGCCCAATAGGAGGGAGGAAATTTAGACTTATTCTGAGGAAAAGCCCGACGGCCCATCGTGCCTTCGGGCCGGCCCGGCACGGCCCGAGGCGTGTTGGGCCGTGCCTGGGCCGTGAGTGCGGCACGTGGGCTGGCACGGCACGGCCCGGTGCGTCGGTCGGGCCGTGCCGGCCCGACAAGCCTCGGCCCAGGCACGGCCGGGCCTGGGCCGTGCCGTGCCGGGCGGCCCACATGGCCAACTATAGCTGGAAAGGTGCAGGACAGAGCTAGGGAGATGGTGGAGGAAGTGACACAGAGGGTGACGGGTTGGATTGTGGTTGATTTTGGCCCAGGGAGAGATATAGTGGTCATTCAATTTTTATGTGATTTTGAATAGAACTTCCATATGAGTTTATAGACATGAATTGATGGAATGATTTTCACAGAGATCGTTTGGAGAATTCTTGAAATTTGGAATTTTGGTTTCGAAGGGAAAATGAATCAGATTATGGGGGGGGGGTGAAACTCAATGAATAAAATAAATAAATGGATTGGGAGGCTCCAATTCAAAAGAACGACGAACAACGACTTTAAAGATTTTCACAAAAAAATTACCTTGAAAACTCTTGTACGCTATAGTTTTTTTTTCTTATTAGTCTTTTTCTTTGTTTTGCATGCTATAGTGTAGTTCTATCATTTCGGAGGATCACAAGTTTGTCGGAAGTGTTTCAGAATACGAATTGAAGGCATTTGTTTGCATGGCAAGTCGGACATATCCCAAACTTCCCTTTGATCAGGTTGATCCTATATTTAAATTCTTTATTTACTTCAAACATGTATTTATTTGTGGTGTGCACCTATTCCTTTGTTATGACCAATTTGCACTGGTAACCTTATTCCTTGTTTCCCGGGGTTATGAATTCACTAGCTATGACTTTATGATGGCTTTGTTAGATCATTCGTTAATTTGTTGTGTGGCCTATAGACTACGTTATATACCCACCTTGCAATAATCATCAATCTCAGTTGAAAAAGGAGTATGCCCCAGTTGAGCTACCTGTCGGAGTGAATTTAAAGCTTTGTTAGTTTTTCCTTTTTGTTACCGTTTTTGTCATGGTGAGGACTAAGAATTTATTGTTTTAGTTTTTCTATTGTATGATCAAATAATAAGTTTGTGTACCTTGACTGATTTTTGACGAGGATTTAATACACAAATTAATTTTGAAATTGCACGTGACACGGATGCACATGCTGTTACATCCATACGACATGAGAGCTACAGGTCACAGGAAGTTCATGGGCAAGCGCCTGGGAAAGGACATCATGCAGACATCATGTGTGCAGCTAGGAGTCGCTCGAGAGGGCGTGGGAGTGAGGTTGTGCTTACACGATGGACTATAGAATGTAAACCACCACTACATTTTTTTGACGTAAAGATTTACTAGTTCTTTGCGTTCAAATGTTTGGAACTAACGGTATACTAGTAGTGCAAAAATATTTCTATTTAAAGTTTGGAACTAATGGTTTATTTATTTTATATCCTTGCAATACATTGGTATTCTAATAGTATTATATTACCTTTGTTTTTTAATAGATGACGCCGTTGACTTTTTCTCACATGTTTGACCATTCATCTTATTCAAAAAATTTACGTAATTATAATTTATTTTGTTATGAGTTGTTTTATCACTCATAGTACTTTAAGTATGATTTATATCTTATACATTTGCATAAAATTTTTGAATAAGACGAATGATCAAACATGTGAGAAAAAGTTAACGGCATCATCTATTAAAAAACGAAGGGGGTATAAACTTTCTTGTTGACTGTAGCTTGGGGCATTGACCAACTATATGATATGAAGCTTAATTTTGCTCCTCTCAAAGCTGGCTTCATTTCCATCCTACCTATTACCACTCAGTCGTGCTGCAGTTTGTTTTGACATCTCAATAAACTATACAATGTACTGATGTTTTATCTATACCTATATATTAATTAGACACTTTTTTAAACCTCTCATGTGATCTAACCGTTGATTAAACAGATTGTAATATGTCAACCGTTGAAATTTGAATCCACATTCTATGTGGTGTGGGTCTCTTTAAAATCCATCTAACCTATTGCCAAGCCCATTGACCCGATCCGTTTAAGTACAATATTTTTTTTCCTTTTTATGAAAGTGCGTAATCTTTTTTTTTTTCTAAACCGATCGATCAAGCAGTCTAAAATCGGTGGTGGTATACAGGGCCATCCATATTTACTGGGATGCTACTGATATCTCTTTTTTTTTTCCAAAACATCTCGTATTAAGCATGCACTACAACGAACATACATTACAGAAACATCTACGTTAATTAATAGCTCTACAACAGTCCTTTTATGATTTTCCACAGCTTGCACGTACTACTCTCTCCGTTCCATTTTAATTTTAGAGTAAAGTGTACGGATAGTCCTTATACTTATTGGGGTGTGTCATTTAGGTCCCTAAACTCTTAAAATGCATATCCAAATCTCAGAACTTGTCATAGTGTGTCATCTAGGTCCCAAATCACTACAACCCCTTTAGGATCCTACGTGGCGTTGATGTGACATGCCACACGGATATGACGTGGCATTATTTTACTGACAAATGGGACCCATTTAATTTTTTTTCTTTTTTTCTTCTCTTTTTCCCCTTTATTCTCCTTTCTTTGTGACCCGAGCAGAAGAAAGGAAAAAAAAAGAATGAGAAGAAAACGGAAAAGAAAAAGAAAAATAAAAGAAGAAAAAAAAAAGAAAAGGACACGTCACGTCCTCAGCACCACCTAGGATCTTAGAGGGGATGCGTCGATTTGGGACCTAAATGATACACTTTGACAAGTTCTGGGATCTGGATATGCATTTTGAGAGTTTAGGGATCTATATGACACAACCCTACAAGATTAAGGACCGCCAATGCACTTTAATTTTAAGTGCAGTTGTGAGTTCCGTGTCAAATGTTTGATTATCCGTCTTATTTAAAATTTTTATTGTTAGTATCTTTGTTGTTATTAGATGATAAGACATAAATAATACTTTATGCATGATTTATTCTTTTAATTTTTTCATGAAATTTTTAAATATGACGAATGGTCAAACGTTGCGCACGAAAAATCATGACTACACTTAAAATGGGACTTAAAATGGGACGAATGTAGTACTGCATATCGATCTGATCAGATAGACGCAATGGCAAACATGGGAGGGCACGGCATGGCCATGCACACAGCGACAGGTGAACGCTATTGCTATTTTCTATCAATTATTAAGGTTTGATTCTAACTTCTAATTTCCAGTTCAGTTCTCTTTACATGCATGTTTCTCATCTGTCACAACACGTCTAATATATATATAGGAGTGTTAACCTACGTCATCACCTTACGATATATATTTTTGATGTTCAGATGTTTGATTTAAAATTGATCGACAAGTTTGCTTGCACCTAAGAAGCCAATCCGTTGTCATCGTACCCATAATTCATAAAAGTGTTCCATCTATTTGCTTTTACAAATTTTTCTGGCATTTAGAAAGGTCCATA